GTAACGATGGAAAGTATATTCTACAATAAATATTATTAAATGTATGAAAATTGTGTTATATTTCAATTAAAAAACGGACAGAACTTTCCGGTAGACCTAATATATCCTCATCGACGATATCGGTCTTGTTTCGCATTTGTCGTGCCGCAGATTATAAATGTGCAATCTTTCACCCCCCCCCCCCCTCTGCCAGGGTTACATTAAGAATTATAATCCTGAAGTCAATATTTATAGCGTCGTTCAAACTTCGAACAAAAATCCCAGAACTGTCTTCCTTCGGAAATATCATTTTTTCCTTGTCATATAAAGCGTAATTCATGCACCCAAGAAAGTAAAATTCATAAAAAAGATTGATCTGACATTCTTGATTAAGGGTTAAGGGAAATTAATTCTCCATTTGTTTGCGATGTCACATCGGAATTATGTGTGTCGGCTCATTTTAAGCAGTTCCGAGCAAATTTTATTTGAAATGAAAATAAGAAATCATTGTTTCAAATAATTCATTTTGAACCGTTATTTTGAATGTCGTTATTTTAAAATGAAAGTAACATCGTTCCACTTGAAATAATAGCAATTTTTAATATTTCGTTATTTTTTTATTTCAAATGAGACGAAAGAAATGATCCTTAAAATAACATTCAACAAAATGATCTTGTTTTAAGAAATCATCACAGTAAAATGCTTTATAAAAATAGAAAAAGACTAAATTCATTTAGACATTTCATCATTTTTATTATAACGTGAACTCGATCGAAGAAGTTTATTCGATCGTTTCTTAAGAAAGAGTCTTCACAATTTCAACAATTTGAAAGTAATAAATGCGAGACCGTTCATTATTAGTGCTACGAGATTTTTGTCTAGATCGATCTAATATTGCCACGAAAGAAGATAATTTTTCTACTGGTGCGAAAGAAGGAAGGGGAGTGTTGTAGCAAATAATTAAATCACCGTGTAATTTCCAACAAGAACTCCAAAATAACATGTTCTTTGAAATAATAACTCGAATAATGTTATTTTAAAAGTGATCACAGGCACGGAAATAATTATGAAATAACAAAATATGTTATTTCAAATAATATCATTCCGAATGTGGCCAGGTTTGACAAACCAGAAAATTGCATAAACCAGTTCGAAGATTAATGTCGCCTTGAAAGAGACGCTAATCGAATTCGCGAACGCGAGTATGTTTATGGTCCGCCGTACGTGCTAATCGTTCCGCGTGTCGAAAATCGAATTATGCAAACCGATTAGTCTGCTATGCAAATGCTTGACAAATAATTAACCTGTTATCAAGTACACAATCCTCTAACGCGGGTAGAATCCCAATTAGGGTATCAGGGCATGAATATGCGATACTTGGTTCCGTAATCTACGTGAAAACATTTTTATCCCGTGATTAACACGGTCACTAGATTAAAGGCGGTGATACCGTCGCTAATCTTTAATCGATAAACATTATACCTACGACCGACCGTATTTAATTACTATTATTTTAATGCTAGAAACACGCGCATTCGACATATTTCATACGCGACTGTCGCGAAACTACGAGGTACTATGAGGTACGGAAAATTGTATGTATTCCACTCTTCTTTTTTATATACGCTTCGCGCCAGATTACTTAACACCGACATGAAAAAGCTTTTTAACAGACTTCCGTTAAATGTTAAACTCGAGTTCCTTTCTGCACATCGTTCTTGGTCACCTGAAATCTAATTCCACCGAATTGTCGCATGTGAGAGTGATTGCTGTGGTTGGTAAAGCTCCCGTGAAAATGGTCAACATACATTTCCAGCGATATTGATTGTTCCATCCTTTGTTCCGACCGGTAGTTTTTGGTAATGAAACTATCTAGAGTTAGTTTGAAAACGAATAATACACTTTCGCAACATGTGAATTTTGGAAATGGCGTATTTGTGATTCATTGTTTATTACATATTCCCTGTAAAAGTATACAGGGTGTTCAACTTAATGGTCGCATCGATTTTTGAGGCATTTACGCTAATGTGATAAAAGAAATGTTTGGAATAAAAGTTAATGTGTTCTTTGAGGAAAATAAACTGCAATAACAAAAATTTCGAGAAATCTTTTATTCGATGAAAAACGAAGTTCACCTTGACTTTCTTAAATGACACCATGTTTTCTAGATGGTACAGCGTTTTATATTTGAAATATATGTGTATATATACATATAACAGAACAATCTCAGTCTATTAATTTAAATTAATGCAATACCAAGATTCTTATTAAAAGATCAACC